CCGCTCCTTCTTCTTCTTCTTGTCTCTCTTGGCGAAGAAGTTGTCTAGGCTCCGCTCCTCCGTCTCGGCCATGGCCGCAGCCTCCTCGACCCGGATGGGTGGGGCCGGCGGCGGGCGCGGCCCGCGGGGTTCCGAGCTCGGGGTCGAGACCGGCTTTGCGCTCACGCTCCCGGGCGCGGCGACGCCTCAGCCCCGCGGGGTCACCGAGGCGTGTGCGGCGGGGCGGGCGGCTCCCCCCGCGTGCTGGCGGGCTGTGGTACGGTCCGCCTGGGGGATCGCGAGCCTCTGCCGCCGCTCGAGGCCGCCGGGGCTGCCGCTGCTGCCGCGCTCGCGGAGCGGAATCCCGCCCGCTCCGCAGCCGGAGGGGAAAAGGAACGCGCGGGCCAGAGGCTCCGTCGACAGTGCTTGCCTAGCGGCGGCGCGTGCAGAACGAAGACACGCGCGCGCAGGCCCGGAGAGGAAGGGAGAGGGGGTGGGGAGGGGAGGGAGAGGGGGAGGGAGGGCGGGCCACCAGAAGAGAGAGGCAGCGCCCGCGCCTGCGTACTTAGCTCCGCCCGCCGCTGTGGGAGCGCAAAGGGGAGGGCGGCGGGAGGAGACGGAGGCGGAGCTGGCAAAGGAGCCAATCAGGTGCCAGAACGAAGCGCTTAGGCGACAATCCCGGCCTCAGACGGGGCGGGGCCTTGGGACGGGGAGAGGAGGGTGTATGCTAAATAAGTGATGGGCCTGAGGCTCCTGCCTCCCGATTGGCCAAGGGTTTAGCCTTGAGGGCGGGCATTTAGAGGGCTAATTGGTGACTTGGCTGAAGAGGTCCGCGGAAAGAGGGGGGTGGTGGGGGTGGGTCCCTTCTGAGCGCATGCGTAGGGTGCACGCGTGTCCGCTCGCCCAGAGCGAACTGTGGCCTTGTGGCTTGAACTTTAGCGAGACGGAAAGCGTCTGTGTTAAGCTAGCTATCTTAAAGATGGTTACTCCTCCTCCGCTCCACTCTGTACTTTCACCCCCTCTGGTCTGGCAACTTTTAATTTTCATTTTGTGGGATGGGTACTAGGAAAGTGAGAGGAGCAGTGGGCTTGAAGATTTGGTCTTGTTTACGAAAAGATCTTTAATAAGCCAGTAGGTAGATAGGAGGGGATTAATTTTGTCTGAACTCCACCCTCTGCTAGATGTCTGCCAAGGTCAGGCTAAAAAAAATCTGATCCTCGAGCTTCTGATTATGTAAAATGGGGGTATTCTCTCTGGTAAGATATGTGGGGAAAGAGGACCTGTTAGCTGCCCAGCACTTTGGATGCGTGACTTTTTAATACGTTTAAATAGTGCTCCCTACCCTGACTTGAGTCTAGATGATGGCTGCAATTTATCCTTAGCTTTTATATCTGGTAAAAGGAGGAGAATGGTGTGTCACAGGGATAGGGATAAAATACCCATGTTAAACCTGGTTTTACCATTTAAGTACTTTTGGGGCCTTGAGAATGAAAGGAATCCTTTCATTTGAAATCGGTGGCCTAATGTCAAGTATTAGACTTTCAACTTCCTCCTTCTAAGGACAGAGGGAGCAGCCACTGAGGAAATGACTCAGACTATGTTAGTAGTTTCATGGGGTAGACACAGTACAGCCAGTAAAAGGAGTGACTTCTTTGTCTTTTCCTTTATAGTTTTCCCATTTAAGGTTGTCTTCCCTCCCCCCCCACCTCGGCTACTATTGAAGAACTAAGTCCAGAATCTGTCAACAAAGTAAATCAAGGACCTAGCCTTGGGCAACAGTAAGCTTAGCTGTAATTCCCCAGACATAACCTGCCCCCAGCCCCCCAGGATGGGCCCTAGGTAACTTCCTTCTGTGACACCACTTATCTTCCTGTGGTGCAGGCCAAGTTAAGTACTGCCCCCACCCCACCTCCCTTAACATCTCTGATAAATTTCTTTTTCTTCCTTTCTTTCCCTTCCTCCCTCCCTCCTTTTCTAACTTTTGTCCTTTCCTCATCTATGAAGCACCTGTTTAGCCATATTTAAGGTTATGTGCCGTATTCTAGGTTGAGTAATTTGTCATTCCTGCCTTCAACTCCCTTATAATCAAGAAATTCCAGATATGAATAACTGGAATTCAGTCCCCCGCCCCCCGCCCCTTTCTTAGGTCCCCATCACTATATCAGTGTCTTTTTTTTTTTTTTTTTTTTTTGACAGAGAGAGAGACAGCGAGAGCAGGAACACAAGCAGGGGGAGTGGGAGAGGGAGAAGCAGGCTTCCTGCAGAGCAAGGAGCCCGATGTGGGACTCGATCCCAGGACCCTGAGACCATGACCTGAGCCGAAGGCAGACGCTTAACGACTGAGCCACCCAGGCGCCCTATATCAGTGTCTTGAAGGAATTAAGGACTTGGTAAAATGTAGAGAAGGAATAGCAGTTGAGGTTTGACACCGCAAAATTCCCCACTACATTTTCCAGTGTGATTCCTGACATGCTGCCAGAACTTGATCATATGTACTGGTCAGACCAGTAGAGACACCAGTATCTTTGGGGTTGTGTTATTGTCTGTAGTTATTCTTTTCTCCAAAAAGCTGATCCCTTCCTATTTGAATCCTCTGCCTTGAAACTGACAGCATACATTCCCACCAGTCCCTCTTCAATCGCCCCTCCTCTGGATGGGTTACACAGGGCCATGAGTCCTGCCATCATCCTCCCATCGTCAGCTGCCCTCACCTTGCAGCAGCCTCCAGCTCCTTCTTGATGGTTTCTTCCCCTCTGCCTTCCAATGTTTAGACCTTCCCCATCTTTAAAGCAAAACAGACCTTAACTTTTCCTTGCTAGGTGGAAAGTTGAACAGTGGTAAGGAACTCAGACCATTCCCAGGTATTTCAGCACATCTTCTAAGGATCTTAGTGCTGTCTGAACATGGAAATGTCTCTCTGAGCCCTCTAAAATGGTACAATCCAAAGGACATCATTTATCTCTCTCAAAAAGGCCCACGGAGCCAACATTCTGGGAGCTCAAGAGCTGGCAAAGGGCAGCTGGACCCAGCCCATTGTCCCTGGGTTCTTTTTTGCTGAGCTATTTGTTCCAAGTTCCATTCTGCTACCTAGGCTGAAAATTCCACACATGCTCAGCTCAAAGGAATGCAGCTCATGCTGGCCAAAGAGCTTGCCAGGAAATAGGGAGCAACTTTTCATTTGTGGCTTCTTGTCTTTTGTGGCTTCCTCTCTCACATCTGTGAGGCAGACTGTGCTACGGCCTGAGCTATTCCATCAACCTTTTCCAACTGGGGAGCAAATGCCTTCAGGCCACTTCCTCATGAG